CCATGTTTATTGTTGATGGTTTGGAATAAGTCGAAAAGGTACATGTTGATAATAACGTGACAGAACGCACACCGGGACCGAGTGGCCAATCTTCCCGGGTGGGAGAACCGTTCTGTCACTTACCTTCTGGCTGTCTCCAGGCTGTCTCCCTGACAGACCATGTCAGTCGGGTTTTGTAGAGCGAGGTATTACGTAACGTGTGGCAAGGTCATTGTCCCACGTGTATGTATATACGTAAGATCCGGCGACGTTAGGAGGTGTTAATAAAAATTTATAGATAGCGCTGGAGATTAAGGGTCCTGCCCGGAGGGGCTTATGATAAGAGGGGATACGCAGAATGTTTGCTGAATCTATTAAACAGACAAAGGGCATAGAATTTCGGTGCACTTGGAAACATATTGAACCAGTTAGGTATTTAGATAAATGAAATGTGAAATAAAAGTATTGAAATGGTTTGCACAATTTGAAATAAAAATATTGAAATGGTTTGCACTATAACACTGATATAATGCTTGTAGTTCAGTCTGATTGAATGTCTGTACGTCAATCTGATGGAATGACTGTACGTCAATCTGATGGAATGACTGTACGTCAATCTGATGGAATGACTGTACGTCAATCTGATGAAATGCCTGTACGTCAATCTGATGGAATGACTGTACGTCAATCTGATGAAATGCCTGTACGTCAATCTGATGGAATGCCTGTACGTCAATCTGATGGAATGCATGTACGTCAATCTGATGGAATTGACAGGCCATGTCATTGCCTTGACCTAGTTATCACATTGCCATGTAACTATATATCTGGGATGTCAGTCAAACACATATATATCTGGGATGTCAGTCAAACACAAGCAGGTGTTGCACAATTTACACTTGGGCTGTCAATGTACACGTCACCGCATTCGTGGTCTTATACGTAGAGCATCTGTCCGGTGAACGGAAAGTCAGTGGTTGGATGCCCTGGCCGCGTCATACCACAAGACATTGAAAGGCTGTACTTGTTGTTATTGATGTAAGGGAGATAACTCTCATTCCGGAAGTTCTGGTGTTAAAGTTGACAGTTGTAAGTATAGAATGTTACCTTGATTGTGTTGTGGGCTGTCATAGTGTTTTTCGAATGATTGTGTGTGTGTGTGTGGAGATGATCGTTTGTCAGTTGTATAATGAGATGCTAACGAATAACGTTTACCTGAAGCAGCGAGTTCTGTTGTCTATCACTATCCTGCCTTGTGTTCGGCATTATGGGGTAGGAGAAGGATTTGTTTCGGTTTGGAGTCAGTGTACTGAGTGTGTGTGTCTGAGTGGGATATTCATGTTATCTATGCTAGTACTGCAAAACAAGTCAGGACTATAGCCTTGCTCCAAGGCTATACTGAAAGATAAGTCCTCGATGTGTAGTAATTCTATCATTATAATAGACAAGTCTGGATAAGCCACTAATAATTATTGCCGCAGAGACTCGTGCAAGTCTATCCGGACTGGTAGAAGCAGTCCGAGTTTGATTCCCAGCTTGGAGACAGAATGTGAAACCTATTTCTTGTGTCACATCACCACGAAATTGTTGAAATATTGCTGAAGCGACGTAAAACTCACTCGCTCATTAAAGTACAACTACTTGATATTAGGTCCATATAAAGCACATGTGCATATCAGTCTCCTAATATTTACTAACAGTTTAAGCTGCGTCCATCCGCACCCACTAAACACGCAGGGACAATCATAACCTGGCCCATTTCAGCTATCAGTAATATGTTTACAAGTAAACTCAGAAAGACACTGTCACCATTTGATAAACGGACAACCAGCAGGCAACAAGTGGCATGTTGTGCTGTGGTGAAACCCACTAGTACGGGCACAGTGCTGACATTATAAGTCCTTTTATTCTCGGCATTTTAAACAGAACACTGTCATATAATCGTTAGTATATTTCAGGGGGTGGTGAGGTAGCCTTGTGGTTGTAGCCACTCGTCACGTTGAAGAACGGGGGTCGATTCTAGTGTTAGCGCCCCCAGCCGAAATATTGTTTCCCATATTGCTGAAAGTGTCGTAACAGGACCAGCCTGGAACCGGACCTTGTAGTTTTGTTGGAGTCAGCATATACTTTTCTTTTAATTAAAAGGACAGGCGTGGGAAGGCACGGCGTCGGCTGGCGAGCTGGTGTGGTGGTGGAAGCTGGAGCTTACTGTTTCTCCCCAGCCAGGAGCCTCCTGTCTAGGTCAAGCTCCCCTGGAGGGAGAGCTTGGAACAGTGCGGTGGTGAGGCGGGCGGCGGCGTTGGTGATAAAGAGGGGGCTGACTTGAAGATCGCAGTCGACCAGGAAATCCGAGAGATCCTGGTAGCTGTGGATTTCATGATTAAATCTCTCTTCTCCCCAGTACTGCACCAGCACCATGGGTGGGCGTGGGCGGTTGCTTGGGTATACCTTGCCGCTCTCATGCTGGTTGCAGGGGTTAGGGTGGACCTTGTGCTGCTCCAGGATGAGGCTGGCCTTCTGGGCAAGGTCGACACGGACGTCTTCCTCAACAACTGGTTCCGGAACCGGGTCGGTTTGGACTTGGCTGGGGTTTAGGGAGGGGCCTGGTGTTATGGCGGTCTGTGTTTCCTTGGTCTTGCTTGTAGGTGGTGATGGGAGGGAGGGGGGAGAGTCAGGGGAGAAGATACTTTTCCTCGTCCTCTTCTTCCTTCCGTGTCCTGTCCCTACAGGCGTGCGAAAGGGCTCCTCCCCTCCCCTGGGTTCGAGGGGAGCGAGTTCCAATGCTGCTGTTGGGGGCGGAGGGGTGGTGGGTAGGCTCTCATGGATCTCCATGGCGGCGACTGGTGGAGCCTTCTTCACTTTGGGCGGCCTGGCCTTCTGTACCGGGCGTGGTGCTTGGTCTTGGTCGGAGCTTTGACCAGAGGCCTTTTCCTTTGACCTAAGTCAAAGGAGATGGAGAGGGTGGAGGAGTTGGACTTGTAGGAAGTCCTGAGGGAGTAGTCCCCAACCCTGAAAGCCAGCAAGGGCTCCAGGATGGCAACTAGCTCCCTCGGTAGCGACAGAGCGATGTCTCTCATAGTTGAGCGTGGGTAGCGAGCTTGGAAGGACACGTCTGCAAGGGGCGAGTGTCCAAGCGGAGAAATGTCTGAAGTCCAGGTGAGCAGCTACCTATGTGTTTGTCGTTCCGTGTCGCCAGTGTCAGACTGACAGACAACTCTACAACTCGCATGGCAGTGAGAGATTCTGAAGTCCAGATGGGCGGCTACCTATGTGTTAGTCGTTTCGTGTCGCCAGTGTCAGTCTGACAGTCAACTCTGCAACTCGCATGGCAGTGAGAGGTTCTGAAGTCCCGATGGGCAGCTACCTATGTGTTTGTCGTTCCGTGTCGCCAGTGTCAGTCTGACAGTCAACTCTGCAACTCGCATGGCAGTGAGAGGTTCTGAAGTCCAGATGGGCGGGTAACCTATGTGTTTGTCGTTCCGTGTCGCCAGTGTCAGCCTGACAGACAACTCTGCAACTCGTATGGCAGTGAGAGATTCTGAAGTCCAGATGGGCCCCAGGCCCGAAGCTCCCAATTTACTTCACAGATATTCATATACTGTCGCTCAAGCACAGATATTTACCAAGCACCACGTTTGATACTGTCATAGCGACTGATTTATGACTACCATTGTCTGCAGTACATTTGACTCCAAGGGCAAATTACCCTGTAGCCATGTCTCCATAACTTAATTGTCATTACGTTTCAGGCGCTAATCCCCGTTGTTAATCCTCACCAACATTTCATTGTATATTGACTGACAGCCAAACTGGGCTACTTTATCACTTCCCGTTAATTACTGTTATTTATAGTATGACATTTATTGCCTTAATTGTTCATCCCCTGAGTTGTGTCGGTACGTCACCCCCGGAAGTCCCATGTCCAGAGCAACGTCATTGTATTTCCATTGTTGTCCAGTACTATATATGTGCTACCATTACACAGTTACTGCGGTGTTAGAAAAGCTTGGTATTCCGAGTGCTGGTGTTGGGACGACCTCGAGCAGGATGTGCCGCTCGTAGGAAACGCCCTGAGGTGAGCTGGAGCTCCGCTCACCTCTTGTACGCCTGAGCTGGAAGGTCCGCTCATTGCTGTGTTTGTGTTGTCAGAGCAGGTATTCCGCTCATTGTGCATTTGTTGTTTACTGTTTGCATGTTGTGCATAAAGCGTTCCGGGACAGTGATGTCGATTGTGTCCTTTATTCCCCCAAGAGCTAATTCCCAGTCAACATGCGCGTTCTCAATACTAACATAATATAAGCTTTGCTGAAATTCAGTCCACCAGCCGCTGCACAATGAAATGGATACCCCTTGTTCATTAGGCTGAAAGAAAGAAAATTGGTTCTCAGGCAAAGACTTTTGGACAAAATAGTGCGTGAGGTCTTTGATATGTTCCAAACTAGAATGTATGCACTCATCCTGGGAGAGGGGCTCCCTACATTAATGTATTCCTTGAAGAGTAACATCCAGATAAATTTGTAGCAGCTGGTGTTGCGCATGTCATCGCATCCCAATTGCGTGGATCGATGCAAATGATGTCAACGATTATTCAGAGATTGCCGCCATATAGCTGGAATATTGCTGAGTGTGGCGTTAAACTACAAACAAACAAACATAATGGTAACTCTTCAGGCGGGGAGTTTTTGTACTTTTGTAAATCCCAGAATTCATCTTAATTGAATCTTCCTGGTACCCAATGCATGCTATCAAGAGCACACACAAAAATCTTCTATGTTTAACAGCCAGCTTTGTGTACTTTAATAGCCGACGCATATATGTTTTCTGAATCCCATTTGCCGCCTCCTTTTATATCCAATGAATTAGTGTTACATTTATCAACACAATTTTACAATATCACTATAAATAACTATTATAAAACTTGAGATCACGAAAACACATTAAAATACCACAATATTGCTTTTAATATTAAAAGATTTATTTAAGAAACATCAAAATCCTTTGAAGTTACATCATTGGGTATGTTTGAACTGAATCCCCCGTAGATCGGAAAGGAAATAGATAGATAGGTAGACCTTCTTTATTTCCTCCATTTCATGAAGAGGTCAAGGTATACAGTGATAAGACAAAATTTATAGGATAAGTGTGTGCACACACAGAGAGACATATGTATATTACATATATATCGGAAGACGTTCATATACATATGGTGTAATTAAATGGACAATTAGCATGTGCTATTTACAAGTGTACACATGCTTACAGTATATGCATTGTTTAGTATAAGCAGCTTTGGATGACTTCATCCCACTTTTTAACAGCACCACCAATATTTATAGTAGTTTAACTTAATGCTATTTATCTCTATTGTACAAACACTGGGGAACAGTTTGAGAAGGAGCACCAACTCCAATGACGGCGAGGTATCCTGTATCTTCGGACACTATCCCTGTGGCCTACATGTTACTTTTCTCCAAAGGAGTATAAGTTCCTGTCGGAAATACAGATTACAACAGGCGTAGATAATAGGATTAGCAGCACTGTTGATGAAGTACGATCTCAGAAACAGATTGTAAGCTGTTAATCCAGCTCCTTGAATGCCTTTGAAAATATGCTCATTGACTGATCTGGCCGCCATTAAAGACAGATGGGGGAGAAAACTCAGTACAAATACAAAGGTGATCAGAAAGAACATTAATAGTTTGTTTGAGTGTGTCCTTGCTGCTCGGGCATCTGTGGATGAGTCCAAAACGGTAGGCGTCCTTTTCGAGGAGGAAACTGCATCTTCTGTTTCAGAACCTCCTTGGTATTGGTTCGTCAGTTCGTCAGTTGGCGGCTTCGAGTCTGATACAGATACAGCACAAACACCTTCAGGAGCATCAAGCTGGACACTAAAGGCAGCAATGGATGTGTGTATCTGTTGGCCTGAGTGAATAGTCTGCTTGACTTTGACCTTGTTTAGGAATGTCCCGTGCCTAACAATCTGTCTCCATATTAGGCTGTAGAGGACAACAAGACATAGGGTTGTAGCAACAAATAGGAAGAACTGAGTACCGTTGTAGATGCTGGGATATATGGTCACGCTGTATTCATCTGCTGTAGAACAATCTGAACCGTTGATGTGGATATCGTTTGTGGTCCGTGTCCCTTCACCGAACACAGCAGCAAATGGCGATGCAAGAATCAAAGATATGACTGAACACACAGTGATTGCTACTTTGGCAACGAGCCATGTCGCCTGTCTTTGAAAAGGTCGGCAAATTTTCCGATATCTATCCACTGCTATAGTTAGGATTATGGCCCCTGATGCATACGATACAAATCCCATGACTAGTCTAATTACCTTGCAGAAGCCATATTGTGCAAACGTGTAACTGTATCTCATGTCAGCTATTTCATGAGGTATGCATATGCTACAGTTGACGAGATCAAATATTGCCAGGGCTATTATATAACTGTTGGTTGGACTTGGTTTAAACTTCACAATATACACATAACAGACGAGCGAGTTCCCCACGAAGCCTACCAACGTCAGAATGGCAAGAAACAAGATGGCGGGAAGCACCTGTAGTGCGTAACGGTCGTCATAGTCACGTAGGTAAGCGTCATGGTCGTCATGGAAACTAGTGTTGTCCATCATTTTCCGAAATTGCTGGAAGATCTGAATGGCCGCTGGGAAGCCCGTTGTCTTCTCTTGGCATCAATATATAGTGACCAGGCGATCTGAAATATAAATTGTTATATGGCTTGTTAAAATCTTCTCGTTGGCCATGACCCGCCGGCTCCTAACTCTTTTCAAGCATTGCTTAAAAATGACTTCAGGTTTCGGTTTTGCACAGGTGTTCAACTTTTGCTTTTGCTATACCTTTTAGTGACTTGCCATTGGTCAACATGACGCGTCTCTTCAAATATCGAGCCGCAGTGGACGTGGTCACTTGTTACATCGTATCAAGTTTGCTTTTTTATACATGTTAAACTACACAAAGAATAAAATGATATCCATATCTCAGTTTCGAAAAAAAGTCAAGAGAATCAAGTATTTTCTCTTATCTAGTCTTATATTTCGAGTGAGTGAGTGAGTGAGTACGGCAATATTATGATTATTTCAAGCAATGCCACGGCAGTTGTGGTTCAGGTTACGAAGCTTTATTGCAACACACATTAAACATGAAATTGACGGATCCTTAGCTCCTTCCGTTTCAAGCACAGGGAAGTAAGTGTTCATTAATCCTACAGTAAACTACTGCTTTTAATCTCAATGTTGTTTATGCTTAATATGTTTATATGGAGTGTTTACATAACAATTACTTACTTGGATAGGTTTAATATTATTTAATTGCTTATTGTTGAATAAGTAAAGTTCATATTTACCGTTTGCTGGCTTTGATGGTTGCCAAATCAATCCAGAGTTAAACCTGTGCACGAGCTCTACTGTTGACTGATATTGAAGCTATACGCAGAGCAGAGGATCGAACAGGGGATACGCGTTGCATATTGCCAATGTAATCTGAGCGCTCATTGGTCGGAACTGGCTTCCACTTCGCTAGATCCAGACCGAGGTTTGATTTAATGGTTAAAATAGCGTGTACATTGCAGAGTATCTTTTCACGGGTTATGAAGGAACGTACTGTACACAAACCCGTGAAGTATTTGCGGTGATATAGGTCATGAACTGCCACATGCCAAAATGAGTCATGGACACAAAGTATGATCCCTTACTTGCTCATCCGTTTATTTATGACGATGAATTTAAACCTTACCTGCATAGAGGTTTCAAAGTCCTTCTTCATTGTATGTACAAGGAAGGCCAGCATTTCACATATTGTTTTCTCAGATGATATTTGCTTTCATTTGTTACAAATTGTCCTTAACCGTTGAAGTTAGTGACGTTTGTTTGTTAGTTTGTTGTTTAACGCCGCATTCAGCAATATTCCAGCTGTAAGGCGGCGGTCTGTAAATAATCAGTGTTTGATATCATGAGCATCGATCCATGCATTTGGGATACGATGACATGCATCAACCAAGGCTGCGAGCCTGACCACACGACCCCGTTAGTCGCCTTTTACGACAAGCATAGTCGCCTTTTACGGCAAGCATGGGTTGCTTGAGACCTATTCTTCCCAGGATATTCACGGGTTTAGAATACAGTTCAGAATAAAGTTGATAGATTGCTTGTATTTCAAACTGATAGACTCATTGTATTTCAAGCTACTGGAATGAGCGTAGTATAAATTTTGTATTTTGTAGTTTAAAGAAACACGCATTGCAACAGTTGTGAAGCATGATTATTGTTTTCAGGAATTTTCGGGGACCTCCCTCCCTCGGTCCCTAACGGGCCAGCGTTGTATCCTCCATAGACTTCATCATCAACTCAATAGGCTGTTTAAAGCATTTGGATGGTGGTGGTTAGAGCGTTCGCTGGTCACACCTGAGTTCGATTCCCCACTTGGGTACAATATGTGAAGTGTCACACTATAAACCTCACTCATTTATTTTAGGGCATCTGCTTGATATAAGACGATATACATCACACGTGCATATCACTTTCCTTATATTTATTATTAGCTTAAATGAGCTAGCTTCGTATCTGCGTTCATCCTTACCCTAAGTACACGCAGGTGCAACCTTCGCCTGGCCTATTTGTGCTATCTGTAATATGTCCAGATATGAAGTCAGTGACCGAGTCATCATTTGATAAGGTGAGGTGAAATTGGGTTTAACGTCGCGTCCAAGATTTTGTACTTATATATCGACGTGCATGCACGTGTGTGTGTGTGTGTGTGTGTGTGTGTGTGTGTGTGTGTGTGTGTGTGTGTGCTTGTTCTATTCCGGACTGATGACGATTTATAGTGCTTGCCCACTGAGATACCATGCCGCAGTTCACCATGAATACCCCACTCAGACACAGTATACTGACTCCGAGCCGACCAGTGCTTGTTTTAGCCCCTTAATGCCGAGCGCCAGACAGGGTAACAACAAGAACCATCTTTTGACGTCTTTTGGTATGACGCGGCCGGGAATCGAACCCCGGACCTTCCGCTCTACGGGCGGACGCTCTACCACTAGATTAACAGGCAACCGTAGATATTTACAACCAGCTAGTACCAGGTGGCATGGTCTGCTGTGGTGAAACACACGAGTACGGGTTAGGTGATGACACACATGGGGTCGTAATCGGAGCAGAGCTGGACTTCAGATCCGACGATTTTGCAGCGTATCCCGACACGGGCACGAAGCAGCCAACCGTGAACAGAATATACATTCTTTAGTTAATAAGGGGGCGGTGAGGTAGCCTTGTGGTTAAACGTTGAGGAAACTGGGTCGATTCTAGTGTAAGCGTCTCTCGCCGCGATATTGTTGGTCCATATTGCTGAAAGTGTTGTAGAACCTCGGGACACGATCTGGCATTATTGTTGGAGACAGGATAAAATTTGTTTCAGGAAACAGCAATTTATTGAAAAGCACCAACAACACTGGCGAGCATTAACAACACGAGCAACATTTGTTTGTGGCTAACACATCTGTTTCAAGTTCATATTTCCAAAATTTACGGGATCAAATATAAAAAATACGCTTTCCAATGTATGACATGGCTGACGTCTTAGTCATGTTGTAACTAGCGTCAGGGATCCCAGTGTCAGTCTGGGAGTAGTGTATGTTTGTGTCCTTAACAAGATATTTCATGGATGACAACTTCTATATTAAGGAAGAGAATTTCTGGATGTCAACTACGTTATTATGAGGAACACAACGTTTCGGAGTTTATGCTTACTCCTTCATCAGGTGAATCAGGTTAATTGCCAATAATCGGTTAAATAAATGATGTTTGAAGGAAAGTAAAGTTTTATCTGTCAGTGTACACACTGAATAGAGTTATCACCCGTTCTGAATATTTATTTTGACACACGAGTTATTTTGTGAACTAATCTCATTTACATCGTAATATGTTTGGTTGAAAATCACAGCAGAAAAAGTGTCTTACGTCAACTGGAATCAAGGCAAAACGATAGTGCGTGGTGCAGCAAACACTATGATGAAACGTGAAATAAACATAATCGCCAAGCCACGAGTTGACTAAGAAAATTAGCAAAGTACACGGACATGTTTGATGTTATGTAGTTCATTTATGATATAACACTTCCGTCATTGAATATACAATCACATTGTACACATATGCCGACGAGGTTATGATAAAACAATCTTTTTCGGAAATACGTATCTCGAAATGCACCTTTCGATTCACTTCCGGGATCCCGACAGCAAAATGCGAATTTCAGTGTATTACAGGCATATTTTAGTTGGACCTCAGGATAAAATGTGCAATATCTTTTGTATTAGATACAGAGGATACCATTTTTTGTCTGAAATGTCCATCAGTGAAATGCACAACATGCTCTCTGTTCCCTATCAGCTGATGCGGCACACACTGCAAGGAGCTCTGCTCTCCAAGCCTCGTTTTCGATCCAAAATGGCGAAAATGTGAAAAAAGGTCAATAGTATGGCACTATTATGAAGTTCTCATCCATGAAATATCTTGTCTGTTACTTTATACCAACTTCTAAACAAAATGCCAATCAAACAATTTATTGGAGTACCGTGTACTGTTGCGGTTTTCTTCAGCACTTTTCGAAACAATTATGCCCAAATCTGACACCTGATCGGCTTGGAGGTAACCGATAAAATAAGTTGTACGGATGTTCCAGTCGGCGAATATGTGTGTGCAGCTATATTATTGGTTCATCTAAGGGACCAACCAAAGGATATCCCTTTTCGACAGCCTGAACCTTAAATCATAATTATTTTTTTCAAAGAAATTCGGAAACAACCCCCCTCCTCTCTCCCCCCCCCCCCCCCCCCCCAACCACACACACACACACACACACACAAACCTTCTATGAAATGATCGGTCCAGATATGCACATCAGTTGTTTCTGTACGTTGACCTAGTTGGCCATGTGTCCGTCCGGAAATTTTCAAATCAAACTTAAAGCGTCCCAGAAACCGATGATTATGGGTTCTAATCCCTTGATTGTGTTTCTGGGTTTGTCAGCACCATACCCCTGCTGGTGGATCTCACTAAATTAGTAAACGTCTAAGACCTGCATCACTTCCGGCTTTCGACCCACATCAAGTCGATACGTCTTGATATAATTGAAATACTATTTAAAAAGGCATTCAACGTTTGATAAAATAACACAATTTGCACACTTCTGTGTTATGTATGTATAAGATAACAATAGTGAAACGAAGCAGATAGCTAAGTCTATGCCAAAGCGAGATGACATGGTGTACAGAATTAAACCGACAATGCGGCTTGTTAAAACAAAATAAGTTAACAAGTAATGAAAAGCAGATGTGAAATGGAAAGTTTATGAGATAAAACATGAATGCAATAGGCCAGAGAATTAAAACATGAATGGATTCAGTCTAAGGTAACTGCAGAATCGCTCCCATGTGGTGTCCGGTCAGCGGTTGGTGCCATTCGCCAACACTTGCAACTTTCCGTAACAAATACTGTACGTTTTACCTGAAATATAAAAGATTGAATGTGGAAACCTCGACAATCCAGATATGCAACTACACGTGTATACTATGTTAAAACTTTTAGAATTGACTTCACCTCACACATAAGAAGGTAATATCAAGTTGAAACCTCGAAAGCAAGGCTCCATAGCAAGTAGCACACACGCACGCACGCACGCACGCACGCACGCACGCACGCGCGCGCGTTTTAATATTATCTTCTTATTTTCTTATTTGTGGGGGCGGTCGGGTAGCCTAATGGTTAAAACGTTCGCTCCTCACTCCGAAGACCCGGGTTCGATTCCCGACATGGGAATCAGAGGTGTGAAGCCCAATACTGGTTTTCCCCGAGAGAGAATGCTGCATAAACCACGTAGCGGGACACCATGAATGTGTCAATGTATGATGTGCAGGATTTCCTTCTCACATCGAACAAAAGGTTGTTTGTTCCATTGTTTATCTATTTTTGACATGTGGCCATACCGATATAATGCAAGTATTTCTTGTCCTGGTAGCAAGTTGCCCTTTGCTAGATGTGAAATCCCCATAAACTAGGACATTCCCCAAATAATCTATAATGTCATTGCGAAAGTACCAACTTATTCGTAAGTCGCTCGCTTAGCTAAGACAGCTTCGAACATAAACCGTCCTATCGTACCCCCCCCCCCCCCCCCCCCCCCCCCCCCACACACACACACACACCACAGAGACTAATACAGAAGGACAGGTAGTGTTACCTATTTGGGGGGTTCAAAGAAGGTGATCTTCACATCGCTGTGGGCGTCCTGCCACGTCTTGATGAAGCTCCGGAGCCCCTCCGTCCACACTGCAGCAGCGGCAGACACCCGGGGGTTCTTCAGCACGAACGTCATCACCAGTGCGGTGGAGTTCTGGTAGTTGCTGCCTGAAAGGTCATAAAAAATAATATAAACTTCAATCTGGAGGAATTCCTCAGACCGGTATGGTGTCAATATCCGTAATATTTTGTTTCACTCTATATCTTTGTTTGGGCATAAACAGAATCTGTGGGTATTGACACATCTCACTTGACAGTGATAGTGATGTTTAAACATTGGGACATTGGATACATTTTACCTGAGTAAATAGGTTTTTGACAAAAGGACCAGAAGGTCGTGAAATCCCGATAATCCATGCGGTACCGGTCAAGGTGAAATGGGATTAATGGAAGATTCTGTTGATATTTTTCAATCGACATCAAAATGGACGCCCATGTGTGGTTTTCGATCCATCAAATCTCCTATCTGACTCCATATCTGTGAAAACGTGTGTATAGTCTGTAGCTGTCATGCATACAGTCATGAAGGATGCAATGGCTCTACCTACCGTCATATCCACAAAATATCTGGGACGGTTTGACCACACCCCCGTAGTCCGGCACACAGGAGATGTTCAGAGGAGGGTCCAAGACTGTCTCGGGGTGTCTGGAATGGTGCCAGTGTATGAGATACGTATGGTAATGAACGGAAAAAATCTTGTCTAATTATTTGTTCACGTAGGCTTTATTTTATTTTATTTTATTGAAAATGTCATTTTTAACAAAACTCTTTTCAAAAATTCTATCCATACTTTGCGTTTATTTGAGTTATCATTCAATATATGTAACTTTATAGTTTTAACAGAATCCTTCTTTGCATCAAGGTCCAATAACAACACTCTGCTTGTCTTGGATAACTCGAACAATATTAACAGTGTATCACAAGTCTTTAAAAATAACTGTTATAAAAATGCCTACCGTATTGTATAAATTAAACAACTCAAGAAACGTAACGGGTTTTTGAAAACAAGATGCGACCAAACGAAAAAGACACGGGTTTTGTTTTCGACCTGGATTCCTTTCGATGAAATTAACTACACGTTATTGGAAGTAGGTGATCAGTGACGAGAATTTTATGCTTGTTCTTTTCAAAAATCCGATTTCGTAGCCAATTGAAGATGTTGAAGTGTGACGGAAATCTAACGGGTCGACCCGCAGCCCCGGTAGTGACCGACAGAGCAGCTGATACTACACGATAAACGGCTGCCCAGGCATCTGCTGATCAGACTACGAGAACTATACCGGTGTTGGTGTGTCTTGCACTAAGCTTTGCGCCGGTATCAACAGGCCTACCCAGTATGAGACGACCAAAAATTTAAAAAAATATGATGACATGCATTCATTTTGCTGTTTTCCGAGAGGCTTGTCGAGTCGTCGAAGCAAATTGTTTAAGTGTGGGAATTCATGCATATTTCAGTTATTTTGTATCTCGGTGTGCAAACTCGACAAATAACATATTATACATCTGCTGGACACATCTTACCTTTGTTCACTCCCTCACTAACTCAATTACGCACGCAACCGACCAACCGACCAAACAACCAACCAACTATTAACCTGAAGCACGTGAGGAGATGATCCAGGAAGTCGGCCATAACGAAAAATCCCGATGGGTCCATCACTTTCTTGTCAACGTTGTGGTTGCTGTTCTGAAAGTACTGTAAGACGCTACGGACAGTGCAGTGTTTGGCGACCTGACCATGTAGGCATATGTCCTCCAGGCTCACACGGGTAGATCCCTTGGTGAAGTTCAACGTTTGTATTTTAGTCTGCAAATCGAGTAATTGAAATATGGACAGAGTTGTGTTTGAGTCATGATATAGGTACAGTCAACATTGGACACAATGACACACGTACAGTCAACATTGGACACACTGACACACGTACAGTCAACATTGGACACAATGACACACGTACAGTCAACATTGGACACACTGACACACGTACAGTCAACATTGGACACAATGACACACGTACGGTCAACTATGGGCACAAGGACACACGTACAGTCAACTACGGACACAATGACAGACGAACAGTCAACATCGGACACAATGACACATGAACAGTCAACTATGGACACAAAGACACACGTACAGTCAAATGCGGACACAATTACACATGAACAGTCAACATTGGACACAATGACATATAAACAGTCAACATGGGACACAATGACACACGTACAGTCAACTATGGACACAATTACACATGTACAGTCAACATTGGACACAATGACAAACGTACAGTCAACTATGGACACAATGACACACGTACAGTCAACTATGAACACAATGACACACGTACAGTCAACTATGTACATAATTACACATTACAGTCATCTATGGACACAATGACATATGAACAGTCAACATTGAACACACTGACACATGTACAATCAACTAAGGACACAAAGACACATGTGCAGTCAACTATGGACACAATGACACACGTACAGTCAAATACGTACACAATGACATATGAACAGTCAATTATGGACATAATTACACATAACCAGTCAATATGGACACAATCACAAACGTACAGTCAACTATGGACACAATGACACTCGTATAGTCAACTATGGACACAATGACACATGAACAGTCAACTATGAATACATTAACACACGTACAGTCAACTACGGACACAATGACAAACGTATAGTCAACTATGGACACAATGACACATGAACAGTCAACTATGAATACATTAACACACGTACAGTCAACTACGGACACAATGACAAACGTAAAGTCAACTATGGACACAATGACACATTAACAGTCAACTACGTACACAATGACAAACGTACAGTCAACTATGGACACACTGACACACGTACAGTCAACTATGAACACAATGACACACGTACAGTCATCTATGGACACAATGACAGACGTACAGTCAACTACGGACATAATTACACATAACCAGTCAACATTGGACACAATGACACACGTACAGTCAACTATGGACACAAGGACACACGTACAGCCAACTACGGACACAATGACACATGTACAGTCAACTATGTACACAATTACACATTACAGTCATCTATGGACACAATGACATATGAACAGTCAACATTGAACACACTCACACATGTACAATCAACTAAGGACACAAAGACACATGTGCAGTCAACTATGGACACAATGACACACGTACAGTCAAATACGTACACAATGACATATGAACAGTCAATTATGGACATAATTACACATAACCAGTCAATATGGACACAATCACAAACGTACAGTCAACTATGGACACAATGACACTCGTATAGTCAACTATGGACACAATGACACATGAACAGTCAACTATGAATACATTAACACACGTACAGTCAACTATGGACACAATGATAAACGTACAGTCATCTATGGACACAATGACACATGAACAGTCAACTATGGACACAATGACACACATACAGTCATCTATGGACACAATGACATATGAACAGTCAACATTGGACACAAAGCACACGTACAGTCAACTAAGGACACACGTATAGTCAACTTAGGACACAAAGACACACGTACAGTCAAAGTCAAATAATAGTCTTTACTATTTTAGTACTTACACAATACTGATATGACTAAGTCAAAATGTTTGAGTGAGTGAGTGAGTTAGGTTTAACGCCGCTTTGAACTGAATTCAAGTTATGTTAAGGCGTGTCAGCAGGAAATCCCGAAGTGATGCAGGTCTCAGACGTTTACCACTTTGGTAAAACCAACAAGCACAGGTATGTCGATGAAAAACCTAGACACATAGTAGGGGCGAACTGAGGATCGAACTCACGATCATAGGTTTCGGGCGTACCCAAGTGACGCAACTGTGCATAGAGAATTGCATCGTCTTTGACGACTGAGCCACCCGTTCCCCCTTAAACGTTTGAAACTCGAGTTACATATTTGAAATGATGGGAAAAAGAGGACAATTGTTAATCTTGCCAAATAAATGTTTATCTCATAGACTGTCCTGACAAAGTTGATATAGGGTATCATACTGACCTGATGCAGGAACTCTTTCTCAAAGACTGATTGGAACATGATGCTCTTGAGACTCGGTGGCGGGTAAAAATGCTTTACCTCGGAGTGGTTGCCGAGCCTCTGAATCACCAGGTGGAGACTCGCATATCCCGGGCTGCAGGTATAAAGTCAACAGAGGACGTTTACGGTAATGTGATGGGGAGTAGTGATTCATCAGATGAGGAGCAGGATCAAGAGAAATCCTTCACGAGGGCCAAACATTGCTTTACTTCCGGTGTCGCCATGGCTGAATATGGCTCCTCTTTCCGCCTTCATTTCTGCTTATCTACATTTTCTGTCTCCCTTGTCCTCCGGCCCTCTCTGCGTTTCTCTCCCAGATCCCATCCTTCCCTGCTACCCCCTTCTCTATCGTTCGCTCTCTGTCCGCGTCTCTGCCCACCTTAAAGCACCCCTCCCCCCTCCCCGTCCACTCCCTCCTCACTAAGCATCACATTCCATCCTCTCCCAGCCCTCTTACACCTCTCTCTCCATCTCGATTATCCTGTCACCCTCCCTGTCCCCGCCCCTATTTGCCCTATCCCTCTCTCCGGCACTCTCTCTCTGTCTCCTGAGTCTCTATAAAATAATGGCATTTATTTTTCCCCGAAGAAACTTACACTTCTTGAATTACGTCCCATGGACCGTTTGTACACGGGTAAGCTGGAACCGGGGCCTGGGTGGTGGTGGGGCATGGAACAGCCCCGCAGTCCCTACAGGAACACTTGCTTCTGTTGCCGAAAGGGGAGGAACATGGAATAGCTGTTGCGTTCATGGGATACAAGGTCACTCCGCTCGGTATCGTGTCCGGATTGTCAGTGACATTGAACTGGGTCGAGAAAGGTATTTGGCCAGTGTTTGTGTTGCCGATGTAGTCAAGCAGCCGTTTTGGGGAACATTTATCTGAAGGCCGACCACACAAAACACTAATAGCTCTCTCGCCTGACGATGGCATCCTGACTTCCTTGCAGGAGTTGAACATGCCGTCGGCGAACGTCGTAGAGACATCGTACTTGATCGCAGTTACAGAGTGACGGCTAGTGGTGCTGGTGACGGCGATGAAGTCACTCTGTTTGGGACTACACACCATGTTGCAGAAGATGTTCCTGAAGTTGTGATTGCATGCTGGGCAGATTCCCAGAAGCTGATCTGGCACTGATAGCATGAACTTGAGCCATCTCAGCTGAAGAGCGTCACAACACGTGTCAGTGTCTGAAATACAAATTAGAATGATTTCAGGTATATCACAGCTACGTGTAACTCAGCTGTTGAGAGACACAGCACGTGTCTGACATACACGTGAGAGTGTTTTGCCAGATATTTCACAGCACCTCAATTGTTGAGCGTCACACCCAGTAATAATATTACCGAGCATGTACTTCGGGTGTGATAATTCAAACCTCAACATGTTAACAAGGCTCGAAATGTTGGGCTAGGAAGATGAAAGCTCCTTTAAGAGAGACACATGACTTTAAATGAAGATACTTACGATGAGCAAAATCTGGACACCATTCGTCCAATACACTTCTAGCTGTGGGGTCAGTGAGGGGTTTGGGGGGACCAGTGTATGCACAGAAGACTGACATCCCGGTGACTGGGTCCACCCCACATATCCCATACATCACGCAATGGCCATTTCCCGGGGGTACTGCCTGACAATGTAAATACAGACTGAGTTATTTAGCTTTAAAGACAATTTTAGGGGCGGACCATTTGATATTTATAGTCATTTTTTTCTTCATTTTTTGGGTCTGAGCTTTTCTTCTTCTTAAAAGAAAGCTGAGATTTCTTTTTTAGGACACATTTCATAATCAACATATGTAAAGAATGTTCAGATTTTCTCACTGTTCACTAAAACTTATGTGGATGACATCATAACGAATCACCTCAAGGCAGTATTCCGAAAAGATCAAAGAAGCAGGACTCAATTAATAAAATGTAAATTCATGACAAAACAAGTCACCAACTTCAGGCATGTCTTCGGCAAAGATGGCATCTATGTCAATCCTTCAAAACAAATTCAGTCACGAAGATCCCACCTCCTAAAAATGTCCATGACGTGCGTCATTTCTTGGGTTTGGACTCGTTTTATCACACGATTTTAGCAAACTTTTCTGGCATCGCCTCACCTCCATACAACCTTCTGAAAAAAGACGCGTCTTTTGATTGGTCTCACAATTGCCAACAGGCATTCGAAAAGCTGAAGCAAGCCCTTACAACAGATCCCATCCCTGCATATATCGACTAAAACAAACACTTCATCCTAGTATCTGATTCATCTGTAACTGCAATTGGGTACATTTTAGGCCAGCTTAATTCTCATGGCATAACTTGTAATGATGCTGGCAATTCATATCTTTTGTTTATGTAACGATAAGTACCTTCCTTGACATTGGTCCTGTTCTGTTTTTTTAGGAACAAACAATGTTGGTTGGTAACTTTTATTTTGCTCGCCAGTTTAGGTTATTTCAATAAACTATATTTTCTTTCTGCGTATGTTTATATTGTATCTTTTTCCAAGTAAGGGTAAATGATGCTTAATGGTTATTTCACCTCACAGTCAACAACTGTTATGGCCTCTTGAAATGGAAGATTTGAAATGATTATTAAAATACAATGGCATGTTACTGAAGGCAGCATGGGTGGCCCAGTCGTCTAGGGCGCCGCGATTCGCTGTGCAGAGTTGCGTCCCTTTGGCACGCCAGAAACCTATGATTTGATCTATGACCCGGTTTGTCAGCACCATACCCATGATCGTGGGTTTCACCAAAGTGGTAAACGTCTGAGACCTGCATCACTTCGGGCTTTCCTCCCACATCAAGCTGACACGCTGTGATGTAACTGGAATACTTTTAAAAGCATGCTAAACCCAACTCACTCACTCACTCACTCTAGCTACATAGTCACCAGTTCATATGCACTACCGGGCATTTCAAGTTACAAAAATTCCCATCTTCTCACATTGCGAAAAGATGGGACTTTGGTTTTTCTCAACAAACCTAACTAAATAACAATCCTTCCAGTGACCTTGACCTTCGTCGAAGGTAACTCAAACTACTAGAATGTCTCCCCCTAAGGATACTTTGAACCGAGTAGAGTTATCATAAAGATAACATATTGACAATGGGAGCAATTCGTCCTTCAGTAACATGACATTGTATTTTAAATACAAAATATACATTTACAATGACTATATGATAAATAAACTAAACACCATACCCATTGCTGGAGTTCCATATAACAACTGATATGGCACATGCTACACAATGGAAATAGATCACAGTGACCAACTACTGTTTTCATAAGATTGTCATCATGAGAATTGACATCTGTAATCATTTGCTAAAGATTATATTTAGATAATGATAAGCTTCATGTCAGGAACATAAATCAGGGAAGTGGTAGAGCAATTGTAATTTGAGAGGGAGAGCCTAGTAGTGAAGAGTTCCTAGCAACAGAAGTTTTCTCTTGTCTATTTCAGATTCCAAGGGAGTCCATCCAATGCGTTAAGGCGTTACAAATATCAGTCCGTGTGGTATGAGGGACGCCTTGTGCAATTTTTAATGCAGCTCTCTGGGTAGGGGAAAGCTAGCGAATCGTGCTCCCAAGCCCAAGGGTCGGTATGGGGAGACGAATATCGGTAGTTAATAGTTGTATCTGGTGGCAAACAGATCGACTTCTGGTTTCTGGTAATGCAGACCAATCAATTGAAGCATCTTTGGATTGAGTTGCCACTCAGTCGGGGAAAGATGATCCGGTAGTGATAGTGCATCTGCGATCAAGTTATCCCCGGAATGTGTCTGTTTCGAACTTGAATGTGAAACGAGTCCATCAGTTGAAACAACTGGTTTGTCGTTTGTAGCAGAGATTGGGGATTTCGTCTAGCCAATTTTGTTGATTGAACCATCAGTCAGGATGCTCGTAGGAACTCTGCCCAATACCACCACCAACTGGAGTTTTTTCAGTGGGGTTCAACTCTGACGTTTTGATGTTGATGAACCATCCTCGTTGATGTAATAATATCCAGGCGAACTGTAGATGTTTCTCCAGAATACTATGATCTGAGCCAGGATGCAATCGTCTATGTATGCTTCAAACATGATGCCCCGACGAAACTGAGTGCTAGGTTTCGTGATGCGGGGAATAACCACGGGTCGTAGAAATTAAGAACGGGAACAACTGGTAATAAACCCCTTGACAAAAGAAGCGGAGGTGTTGATGCTGATCCCGATGAATTGGTACATGAAAACCCGCGATGTGAGCAACCACGAGTCAGCTAAAACCAAATGGAAGCACCTTCCGCTGATCAGGTATGCTGTCGGGTTGAGCGTCTAATGTCGGCGCTTAATACTGGTGAAGAGACGGTGAATTCCACCCCACGGGTGCCATAATTCCAGATGGTTGAAGCACTGTATTTGTTCGACTGCAAACCAGTGCTCGGCAATTCGGAGATCCAGTTTAAGAATTCCTTTGATATAAACAAATTTTGTTTATAGGTATAAATATGAAAAATAAATGTGAGGTTATTTCACCTGAGTTAACCAGTATTAATCAAGGGTACCTCAGCGCAATATACGGAATAGAACGCATACAATGCAACCTTAGAAACAAAATGGCTGCCAGGAGACTGAGAAATAGAACAGCCATGTGTATTGCTACACCACGAAAAGAGATTAACAAGTGTCTTATTACTTGACAAAATCGCCATTGTATCTTTTCTATTTAATGCACATATAACGGCAAGACGGTTCAAAATTACGCTTATAACATCAAACAAAATCAACACACGAAATTTATATTTCCCTGGCCCGTGTCAGAATACACCAATAATATCAATACCATGTTAATTATCTTCATTAAATGCTTTTATTCGTAATTGAATCAATAAAGAAAACATATTTTCTGTACTAATGACTTCACTGTGAGGCTGATAGTGCCGCATCTCAAGGGTTCAGTCGGCATGGACAACTTAGGTCAATCTAAGTATGACGTAAATCAGGTAACATGAGGTAACATATTGGTCAACCAAGAATAACTTGGATTATACCTTGGTCAACATGGGTTCTCCTGGGTCGTCCAGGGTTTTCAAATCGAACGCAAGCACTATTATCTTCAGTTGTAATTTTGAATTTAGGGCGAACTTGGTAAGACGTGGTCATAGAACAACATTGTAGGAGTTGCCTCCCCTTATCTAGACTACAACCGCACTCTGCAATGTTCCAACTATTTAGCTACGGTCCGTTAATAAACAAGTCTTGACCAGACAGTACAGTGATTATATTATGGGGATCGATCCAGCGAACTGGGATACGATGACATGCTTTAAACAAGTCAACGAGCCAGAACACCCAACCCCGTTAGTCGCCTCTTACGATAAGCATGGGTCGCTGAGAACCAGAATGAACCCAAGGGACTGTTGCGATGTTGATGAAATGGACAGTTTCATTGTTGCTCTGTCATACTGGTACTGGTGTCTGTCCATACCTGTCGACGATCTTTGCAGACTGATACTGTAACAAACAGCAGTAGAAAACAAAACAGATCCCGAGCAGCCACGTACATCACATCAGCCATCTTGGTTTGCTTTAACCCTTTGTTTGCCACTATATATGACCTGTGTACAGTGTGCCGTATTTATATTTGAGAGTGACGTTGTGAAAAACTGCATACCTTTGTCTGAATAACGACGTAACATAACGACGGTAAAACCCACAATTTTCAAATTTCGCTCTATAAGTTCAAACATATCCCTCACTGACTACAGTAAACTACGTTTATAACGAACACGCTTATAACGAACTGGTGAATATAACGAACTGTTTTTTTTTGTCCCAGCCATTTGCTGTATATATGCTGTATATACGTTTATAACGAATTACGGTTATAACGAACTAAAATTAGTGGTCCCTTTGAGTTCGATATAACCGTAGTTTACTGCATATACTATGTAAATATTGTCAAGCATTACCTTGATCATGAGTAACTAATAGCTTGTCAAAGGTATTCTGGTAGTTATTTTGTTGACCGTGCACGTTGGGTCATGAATGCGATTCGTCAGAAAGTAAATCCTTAGTCTTCAAAAGGCATTTGGAGGAGATGCACATAAGGAAGATAACAAGATAACAAAGGGGAAAACTTAACACGGGAAACCAACTGGGCAGATAGGTCCCCTGGTCCGAACCCCAGGGGATGTATATGCCAGATCCCCTGCAACTGTGGTCACCAGTACATGGAAACCCTCAGACCCCTCTACACCAGACTCAAAGAACATCAGACCTCTGTCAACAAACTAGACCTGAAATCCGCCATTTCCGAACACATCCTCAAGAACGAAGACCAGTACAACATGTGGGAAGCCACTAAAGTCCTGTCTACGACCAACAACAACTGACAACAAAGAAAACCTCAAGAAGCCATTGACATCAGAAGAAACCAGCCAGCCATGAACCGTGACCAGGGAACCTATCTTCGCAGTTCCTGGGATGTATTGCTTTGATCATTGTCGGAGCTAATTATCTAGCTGACTTCCATATATATCTATTGTCATTACCTATCAGTGCTAATTACCTACCTGCCAAGTGCCTGGAGCGTATTGCTTTGAGCATTGTCGGAGCTAATTATCTAGCTTACTTCCATATATATCTATTGTCATTACCTATCAGTGCTAATTACCTACCTGCCAAGTGCCTGGAGCGTATTGCTTTGAGCATTGTCGGAGCTAATTATCTAGCTGACTTCCATATATATCTATTGTCATTACCTATCAGTGCTAATTACCTACCTGCCAAGTGCCTGGAGCGTATTGCTTTGAGCATTGTCGGAGCTAATTATCTAGCTGACTTCCATATATATCTATTGTCATTACCTATCAGTGCTAATTACCTACCTGCCAAGTGCCTGGAGCGTATTGCTTTGAGCATTGTCGGAGCTAATTATCTAGCTGACGTCCATATATATCTATTGTCATTACCTATCAGTGCTAATTACCTACCTGCCAAGTGCCTGGAGTGTATTGCTTTGAGCATTGTCGGAGCTAATTATCTAGCTGACTTCCATATATATCTATTGTCATTACCTATCAGTGCTAATTACCTACCTGCCAAGTGCCTGGAGCGTATTGCTTTGAGCATTGTCGGAGCTAATTATCTAGCTGACTTCCATATATATCTATTTTCATTACCTATCAGTGCTAATTACCTACCTGCCAAGTGCCTGGAGCGTATTGCTTTGAGCATTGTCGGAGCTAATTATCTAGCTTACTTCCATATATATCTATTGTCATTACCTATCAGTGCTAATTACCTACCTGCCAAGTGCCTGGAGCGTATTGCTTTGAGCATTGTCGGAGCTAATTATCTAGCTGACTTCCATATATATCTATTGTCATTATCTATCAGTGCTAATTACCTACCTGCCAAGTGCCTGGCACTGGACAAAATATCATCCATTCCAAAAAATCCAAAACTTGGAAATACCACCATTCCAATTGGAAATATGACCATTCCAATATTTGGCAAGGTCATATTTCCAAGCTTGGATTTGTTTGGAAATGTTTGGATACAACATGTCATAATCATATCTGTTAAAAGTTGTACAACTTTTGACCTTATGTGAGATTAGTAATGACATGAAAGTAAATAATTAAGAGTATTTTGGCACTATGTACCTCGAAAAGACCAAATCATGAGCAAATATAACTAAAAGAATTTCTGTCATTTAAAGTGGCTACTCTTTATATTTAATTTCTTATCTTCCTTGTCTATAATCATATGACATTGACTTTGAACTTTGAACAATTAAACAAATATTTTGTTTTCCCATACCGACTTACGGTTGTCGTAGAACAAAGACCGTTTCGAGAATATAGAGGGCCTCGTTATTATAATTTGAACTAATATACATAGGTACATAATAGTACTAGGTATAAATGAATTTTGATAGGTGTTCGTACAAGAATATGAACTTCGAATTATCTCGGAATTACGCGCAACACGTGGGGCTGGAAATTTTATAATTGTTCTGTAACTATCTGACGGTAATTCAAAACAGGAACAAGATTTCGTCAAATGAATCATTGAGCCAGGAATGCAACGATTAAAAATGCTGACAAAATGAATAAACATATCTGGAACAGAGTAGACTGTTCATGCGGACAATTATATGCTACGTCTATTGCCAATGAAGTTTATCACCCCATGTTATAGCATTTGTTATTTTATATAAAAGATAGAAGCCAAATAAATGGGGCAATTAGTTGTTATGAATAAGCTTTACCTCTGTGACATATCACGCAACTAAATGTGAATATGTTTATCAAATAATCAATTACAGTAATTAACCTAGTGTCCTTATTTATACACAATTTAATTACGTATTAGGGTACAATATATAATACATATTATACATCTTATTTTGTCAATTTAATCATAACCCAAATCATACAAATCAAAATGTGAAAGTAGTGACTAACTTTATGATCAAGGGTATAAATACTCAATTGTATCTATTAATCCTAATAGTATAACAATAAACCCTGTGTATATACTGAGCATATTTAGATACATCTGGATCAACGACCGCAGCCATATAATCAATCAAGGAAAGTATATTAGATTGATTTACAAATGTGCTATCACTATCAACAAAGTTTTCCGTTATCCACGTAAGCCTAAACCTGGGAGAAAAAAAGTTCTGTTCTGTTCTGAAGACGCCGTCATGATTAGTTGGCGCCAGTCTAGACTGTCCAATCAACGTGAATATACAAACCGTGATGTTACTTGACCAGTTGATGACACCTGTCAAACTCAAAGTGCCCCTGGTCCTCCACCCACCATGTGTAATACTTTAGCGCACTTGATTGTTTAATTTGCGGTTATATCACTGTTAGGCTGAGTGAGGAGAGAATTCATTTTGTTGTTTTTGTTAACGATCGTTTCCATTTTCAACGTGGTAACCTTATAAGTGACTAACTTTTTTATCATGATGAAATGAAACATATTAAAATAATGAGAGGGACTGACGATCGCATTTTTCGCATAAATGTCATGCTCGCATTAATTTCATGATTTACTGAAGATAGATTCGAACATTTCTGAGCAACGATCATGTTTGGGTAAGGGAAGTAATCTTGTCTCCGCTTGCAATTGGATTGAGTTCCGAGATCGCAGCTTGACTGTTCGGTACGGCCGAAAGGCGGCATCCATGTTGTTCACGCTCCGCTGATCACGGGGCCTCATTTGTCTGTATTCTGCTTATGAGCCGGGATGCGCATGAAACACGGGTGTCAAAACGAATATATTTACCAATTATACGTACGGTCAATTAGCCAGTCCAAGAGACAATACCCTGGTTCTACCACCTTTAGGTGTAATTACGTCGCATGCCCCTGGTTCACGGTTCGTCTGATCTCCCGTCATAAAACCACGATGTTTATTTACCTGGAGCCTCCGACAGCGCCGACTTCCTGTGTACATGTACGTACATGGCAATAAATGGTTTGTCAGTTGTTTGACGGAATCAATAACTATTGACACGGTGATGTAATTAAAATTTGTCACTATTCACAACTCCTATTTTTATTTTTCTATTGTTCAGCTGTATTTTCGACTAGTTTTATATGTATAAAAAATCTTCTCTTGTATTTATAAACCAAACCGAAAAACATTATATAAGAACAATTGTGTTTTTAAACCGTAAGTTTTCTATTAAAACAACCATGCAATTGAGATTTCAGCCGTAATATTACTTTAGTCACTCCACAGATTACACATCTTATATGCTGCAAACGCAGCGAATGCAATGCTACTACGTCACAGCTGCCTCGGTAATTAAGGGCTGGAATGTTTTTGTGAAGGCAGTTAGAGCAGACGAATTTCCCCCCTCGCTGTATAATGACGGTCGCTAACCATATATGTGTATTTTTCGTGTTTGGGGCTTGATTTGATTGTCCTTTGGTGAAAACAAATGTTCAATTGTGAAAGCAAACCCTTTTCCCCTGAACGTTAAAAGACAGCTGACTTTGTTTTTGTCTGAAATATCAACGTTGGAGTCGTTTATATATTCGGAAATCCATATTATGGTTATTATTTATAATATAATATGGACAATGGTAAAATTCATTATCACAGTTTAAGTGCTATTCACAAATGTATGTAAATCTACTTCGTGATGAATGAAGCATGGCAATAAATGTATGCATCTGATTCTTCATTTGTTCTGTATTCTTTGACGAGAATGAGTTTCGTTAATGATGATCACTCTCACAGATCTTTTGACAAGAGGATAGGGCTTTAACTGGAGAATAGTTATAAAAAATATATATATAAGTATAGGCGGTCTGTGCACATGTGGTGAAACTGATACCTCATTGATTTGCTAATCGGGACTTGGAAATCAAAGTCTGTCATTAAATTGATTTTAAAATATATGGTTTTGACTGTAGTACGTCCTGACATCATAATATTATGTTGTAAACAACTTATCTTATCTTATGTTAAGTAAAACAATTATTGATAACTTCCTGAATTCCAATTGTTCAATGAACAGAATTATTCACAGCTCTGGCGTGAGACAACAATAAATTAGATGTTAACAAAGATTGTCCATTTTATGATCTTAGGCACATGTCGGCGCACTTACATGTGAGCCGTCTAGACGACTGTCTGTTTTGTAATTAAATGGCAGCTGCCATCCAGCCGAATACTTAATCTTGAGACCTATTAGTTGTCTCGACACCACACAATCAGCAATCTAAAAAACAACAAAAATCCTCATCCTAACCGACTCCCTCAGTGGACTACAAGCCCTCAAAAATAAAAACACTAAAAACCACCCCAAACTAATCAAATACTCCATAGCTCAAACAACTTAACTAGGGCAGGTAAACAAATAGAGTTCATTTGGACCCCGCCCACGTAGGAATCTTTGGAAATGAAAAGGCAGATAAAGCAGCAAAATTATCCCTTAAACTCCCAGAAATAAGCTTAAACTTACCCAGCTCAAAATCAGAAATCAAAAGTCTCACTAAACAAAAAATCAACAAAAAATGGCAAAATATATACCAAAACTTAAATAGCCAAATCAGGAAAGTACTAAAAAAAACCCCTAAATAAACCAAAAATACTACACCCATCCAAAAAAATCGACAGAATAATTACTAAACTACAAACAGGCCACACCAAACTAAATAATCACCGGAAAATAGCTAATCTACACACAACAGGAAACTGCCCACATTGCAAACAACAAGAAACACCAGAACACGTACTCATTCACTGCACACACTACCAAACACACCGAACAACACTACAGACCACCCTAAATCTTAAAACCGCACTTACACTAGAATAAATCCTAAATCCACAAAATAAATTAGAAAAATTCAAAGCCTTAGGTTTATACCTAATTAAAACAGGAATAATTAGTCGCATTTAAACCCCAAATAAAATAATAAAACCAAAACTACCTTATCTAACAACCACCCAACACACACAGCTCCCTTGGTTCGTCCCCCACCCACTCTTTGCATTCTTTCCAAATCTCAAAATTTCCCCTTTTTAGAAACACATTAAATGGCCTGACCGGGCCCGTGTGCGACATGCGCTTGCAGTCGGAAAGCGCACGTTACATCTCCAATATAAGTAAGTAAGTAAGTGTCTTTTCGAGTCAAGTGCGAGTCTCTCTCTCACCTTAGGGAGAATGCGACTGTAAAAGCCCCTCGCTAGACAGACAAGTAGTGAATGTTTGAGATAAATTTATTATTTATTATATATAGTTTAAACTCAATAAATAATTCATAGTCTTTTTATTGTTCAAATTACTGATAAAACATATTTTAACTTGTTCCTTCTAACCATATTTCCAAACAATTCCAAACAATTCCAAGTCATTCCAAACATTTCCTGTGTTGGAAATATGTTTGGAAATGTTGCCATTCCAATTTTGGATTTTCTGGAAAGATCGATCTTTCCAAGCTTTGGAAAGTTTGGAATGAGCGATATTTCCAAAGCATTCCAACGTTCATTCCAAATTGTAGATTAAGTGTTGGCTTCCATTTGTCGATTGCTAATCACCTATCAGCGACAGTTATCTGTTGGCTTCCCTTGTTAAGTTTCCTCCTTTGTTATCTGATCATATTTGTTGTTCTAAAAGGTACATAATATATACATGTTCCCTGTCCCATATACCTTTTTTAAGTGATGAAGGAGTAAGAATACACTCCGAAAAGTCGTTTTCCTTATAATAAAGAAGTTGACATTCATACAATCTCTTCCTTATGTCCTTGAAATGCAAAAACATCATATACAATCGCGTTTGCTTCCCGAATACCACGTGGTTCCTGGAAATTAGCCAGCGAAATCGTCGATTAAGAATTTGTTTAAGAAAATGTTTATGATAAGTGCATAAAATTATAGCCCTGAAATCTGTCGTTTATTTAAAAGATACTGATATCATTTTTAATGTGTAACCTTAACTATGAAATTAGCTTTTACGTACTTACAAAACAAAACAAAAAAGAAACATTTCAAAATATAGTTATGCGTCTTGCTATGTTTTCATCATTCATGCTATTAGTAAATCTTAAATTGTATCGGTGATACTCAATAGTTATTTTCTAAATTATTAATTTAGTTACACACAATTAATTTCGTTTTTGTGTAATCTTTACATAGTCAGTTAGGGATATGCTTCAACCTTTATAGTGTGAAATTTGAAAATTGTGGGTTTTGCCGTTGTTACGTTACGTCGCTTTTAGGCTAAGTTGTGCAGTTTTCACAACGTCACTACGAAAGGGAACCCAGTGCAGCGATTGTACACAGGCTATTTTAATGTGGCAGCCAGAGGGTTAATTAATACCGGATCTAACCTGCGTAGTTTCCTGAAATCCCGTGACAACAGATAACAAATCTTGCCTTGTATGTGGTGTCACTCAGAGTATAATTGTCCCCGAAATTTGATGTGGATGTGACCTACTTCTGTATGTAGTGTTGGTGTGACGTACCTCTGCATGTAGTGTTGGTGTGGAACACTTCTGCATGTAGTGTTGGTGTGGCGTGCCTCTGCATGTATTGTTGGTGTGGGGTACTTCTGCATGTAGTGTTGGTGTGGCGTACTTCTGCATGTAGTGTTGGTGTGACGTGCCTCTGCGTGTAGTGTTGGTGTGACGTACTTCTGTATGTAGTGTTTGTGTGACGTAATTCTGCATGAAGTGTTTGTGTGACGTTCTTCTGCATGTAGTGTTGGTGTGACGTACTTCTGCATGTAGTGTTGGTGTGACGTGCCTCTGCATGTAGTGTTGGTGTGACGTACTTCTGCATGTAGTGTTGGTGTGGCGTACTTCTGCATGTAGTGTTGGTGTGACGTACTTCTGTATGTAGTGTTTGTGTGACGTAATTCTGCATGAAGTGTTTGTGTGACGTTCTTCTGCATGTAGTGTTGGTGTGACGTACTTCTGCATGTAGTGTTGATGTGACGTACTTCTGCATGTAGTGTTGGTGTGGCGTACTTCTGCATGTAGTGTTGGTGTAACGTACATCCAGTATGTAGTGTTGGTGTGATGTACTTCAACATGAAGTGTTAGTGTGACGTACATCTGCATGTATTGTTGGTGTGACGTACTTCTGCATGTAGTGTTGGTGTGACGTTCTTATGCATGAAGTATTGGTGTGACGTGCCGCTAATTGTAGTGTTGGTGTGGGGTACTTCTGCATGTAGTGTTGGTGTGGCGGCTTCTGCATGTAGTGTTGGCGTGACGTACATCCAGTATGTGGTGTTTGTGTGACGAACTTCTGCATGTAGTGTTGATGTGACGTACTTCTGCATGTAGTTTTGGTGTGACGTACTTATGCATGTAGTGTTAGTGTGACGTACGTCTGCATGTAGTGTTGGTGTGGCGTACTTCTGCATGTAGTGTTGATGTGACGTACGTCTGCATGTAGCGTTGATGTGACGTACCTCTGCATGTAGTGTTGGTGTGACGTTCTTATGCATGTAGTTTTGGTGTGACGTACCACTGCATGTAGTGTTAGTGTGACGTACTTCTGCATGTTATGGTGGTGTGACGTTCTTATGCATGAAGTATTGGTGTGACGTGCCGCTAATTGTAGTGTTGGTGTGGGGTACTTCTGCATGTAGTGTTGGTGTGGCGGCTTCTGCATGTAGTGTTGGCGTGACGTACATCCAGTATGTGGTGTTTGTGTGACGAACTTCTGCATGTAGTGTTGATGTGACGTACTTCTGCATGTAGTTTTGGTGTGACGTACTTATGCATGTAGTGTTAGTGTGACGTACGTCTGCATGTAGTGTTGGTGTGGCGTACTTCTGCATGTAGTGTTGATGTGACGTACGTCTGCATGTAGCGTTGATGTGACGTACCTCTGCATGTAGTGTTGGTGTGACGTTCTTATGCATGTAGTTTTGGTGTGACGTACCACTGCATGTAGTGTTAGTGTGACGTACTTCTGCATGTTATGGTGGTGTGACGTAGCTCTGCATGTTATGGTGGTGTGACGTAGCTCTGCATGTAGTGTTGATGTGACGTACTTCTGTATGATGTGTTGATGTGACGTATTTCTGCATGAAGTGTTGGTGTGACGTTCTTCTGCATGTAGTGTTGGTGTGACGCACTTCTGCATGTAGTGTTGGTGTGGGGTACTTCTGCATGTAGTGTTAATGTGACGTACTTCTGCATGTTATGGTGGTGTGACGTAGCTCTGCATGTTATGGTGGTGTGACGTAGCTATGCATGAAGTGTTGATGTGACGTAATTCTGTATGTAGTGTTGATGTGACGTACTTCTGCATGTAGTGTTGATGTGACGTACTTCTGCATGTAGTGTTGGTGCGGCGTACCACTGCATGTAGTTTTGGTGTGACGTACTTCTGCATGTAGTGTTGATGAGACGTACTTCTGCATGTAGTGTTAGCGTGACGTACGTCTGCATGTAGTGTTGGTGTGGCGTACTTCTGCATGTAGTGTTGATGTGACGTACTTCTGCATGTAGCGTTGATGCGACGTACCTCTGCATGTAGTGTTGGTGTGACGTTCTTATGCATGAAGTGTTGGAGTGGCGTACCTCTGTATGTAGTGTTGGTGTGACGTACTTCTGCATGTAGTGTTGGTGTGACGTACTTCTGCATGTAGTGTTGATGTGACGTAGCTCTGCATGTTATGGTGGTGTGACGTAGCTCTGCATGAAGTGTTGATGTGACGTACTTCTGTATGTAGTGTTGATGTGACGTACTTCTGCATGTAGTGTTGGTGTGACGTACCACTGCATGTAGTGTTGGTGTGACGTACTTCTGCATGTAGTGTTGATGAGACGTACTTCTGCATGTAGTGTTGGTGTGACGTACCACTGCATGTAGTGTTGGTGTGACGTACTTCTGCATGTAGTGTTGATGAGACGTACTTCTGCATGTAGTGTTGGTGTGACGTACTTCTGTATGTAGTGTTGGTGTGACAAATCCTTACTACAAAAAACAAACATGGAATATGTTACAAATATTTAATAGTTGATGGAAGTAAATTTGTACACAGAGAAATAAAGAGTTGAGTACAAAAATAGAGGTTTGGCGTATATAATACAACTAAAACTACAACTGAATAGTTTTGGTGTAAATGTATACTTAGTTGAGATCATGGAAGTATACCTGAAGTCGTGATGCAATTCTTTATCAACTATATGAATGTTGATGACCAAAAACCTAGATAAAACTGTCTAGCTCTTCCATCGCACTACATAACTCCATATATTAAGACTAATTTTTAAAACCGGTAGTTTGTTTCCTTTGATAGTTTTTTTTAGTATGTACATGCCTTGCAAGCGATTTTTTCATTTGTCTAAAATAAATATTTTAAATAAAACTAAACTACAAAGACGAAATACAATTGGAAATATTTCGGAATATTGTCTGATGGACGCTTCTGAGAATAGACATAAAGAGATCTATCTGTTCGCTCGTTTATATGTTTCTGTTGTCAAACTGTCAACCGATCACGAGGGTGTACAGTGTGATGTACCCTGTGTGTAAGTCCATGTGATTCGAGAAGGGTAAATCAATCATATGCCTAGAGGGATCGCTGACAATTTATTTATCTAACCGACATTCATTCATACAGGTCCGGAATATAATTATGTTCGTAGTTTCACGTAACAGACGAGGCAAACAAACCGAGTAATTTCCCCTTACCCAATGCATTCGGATAAAAATTCATTTCATTTCAACTCAACAATTCTTATTCGAGATATGCAAGTTATCTAAGATGCGTTCCGATTGCATTCTCAGCGGGCTTCAAGAGCAGGCTACGTGGACATAATGTCCCGCTCCTTGACCAATCAGTAGCTAGTATGTTAATGTAAGATGATATAACTGGCATTGGGCAACATTTGTGCTGTATTCCCAGACTGGGCACTAGCATGTATGCTGGTATCACACACAACATTGAGGAAGTAACAAGTGGGTTAACGATAAAATTACACGTGAAGATTATGTAACTTATGAATGACGTCAAACGACAAAAGCCACATGAATATCAAATATGACATCAAGAGCTCAATACCATAAACAATTAACGCTGCAACACTCGTTACCATCACCCTACCACGAATAAAGGGGATGGTTTCACCGTTCATCGGGGAAATATGTTAAAAAAGATCACAAAGTTTCAAAATCTAAACCATATTCACACTTAAATATATGCTGGAGCTTACGAAAGAGAATAATTAATGCTGCCTAACACCTAAGTAAATTACAAGGTAATATCTATAAGATGATTGGCTTCAAATGTCTTCCATCCCCTTTCGAGAAACTAAATAGAAGGGAGGTTACTCTGTTAAGCATACTTGCACAAACAAAGCCTTATTATAATGTGTTAATAAATATACGACTGGTGGTTTCGTTTTTTACTTCCCCCTTATAATAATTGATATAATATTAATACTATAAATAAACCCTATAAATGGACAAAAAAAAGTTTAAATAGTATATTCTACATGGGACAATATTCATAGACGTTCTATATACACCAACAATATGCACAATGAAATTTGTGCAAGGAAACGTTCGCTATATGTACATGAATGACTTATATACAATATACACAATAGCGGGTAGTGATGTAAGGAGGGTGTGCATGACGTGTAGTATAAAAGTGTCTGTCTTCGATTTATGCTGATCTTTGGGGACTGCATCGCACCAAGACAAATTGGCACATCAAGGGATGACTAGCATATACTCTAAGCTGATGAAAAAAATACATGTAAATTTGAAGCTACAGCTGAATGTTAAAAACAAAGCTCGATCGGGTGGTCACTAAACTTTCTTAGAGCCCCGATCGGGCACTATCACCATATTGAATTACTTTATAATACATAGGGTTGGTGTTTATGCACTTGACTAAAGTTAGTCATACACACTGCAATGACATGCACATTAGGTGTGCCATGATATTTAGTTCACGACACAACTTTTGATAGCGATTTGATAACAAATCAATTAAGCTAAACTGATTACGTATTATGTAAATAATATCAGGTATAGCAGGTAAACAGTTGAGCAGTATCTTAGTAAGGGTACCAAACATCTGTGTCTAATGTTCCGGCAACGGAACAAAAATACGGTTAAAATGTATCGTGGCGCCTTTTGTATACCATGTGTATTCATAACATGATGGATGATGTGATTTATTACAGGAACTTCCACTGACTGACGTGATAGATTTACCGAGCGCTTCCAGCGGAACCTGATTTCGCACTCTGTCCTTTCCACTATTCTACTATCTCAAGGGTAATGGACTTTTCAAAAGAATTTCTCCACAGACAGATGATAGATAAATAGACAGTAAATAGAAAGAGACTTGATCACCCAAGAATGGCCCCAACAGGATATATCGCTTGGGTAAAATCACTAGGAGATATCGCTGGAATGTAACTGCTTCACAATGTTTTGCAGACATTTGATACTTCATCAAATGACATCACGAATCTCTCCGCCACTGAAGCTGCAGCTGTACTTTCTACATTTAAGACACTGCTTCTTACTTTCTATTACTGTTTACAAACTGGAAATGTTGGAAGAATGTTGGATGATAAACAGAATGTCACCCTCCTGTCTTTTGACATACAATATGACCACACTCACTGATAACGGTTTGATACTTTTAGCGACTCTCGTTGACATATTTCATATCAGATGACATTCGAGTAAGATTATGTTTATCAATTGAGATACATATTTAGGCATACGATTTTACAGAAAACTGGTTGAGATATAAAAAAAAACACGTAATTGATAAACTGACCGACAGCAAACCGATAACAGAGCATTTAGGTATATATCCAGTGACGGACAGCGATACAGCAAAGTCGTAGATGTACAATTAAACAGTGAGTGAGTTTGCTTTTACGCCGCTTTTAGCAATATTCCAGCAATATCACGACGGGGGACACCAGAAATGGGCTTCACACATTGTACCCATGTCGGGAATCGAACCCGGGTCTCCGGCGTGTCGAGCGAACGCTTTAACTACTAGGCTACCCGACCGCCCCACAATTAAACAGACAGAGGTTTGATAACATAGAGAAGACAGATGGACAGGTGGACAGACAACACCAGAATGATTGGAGGTCCGATAGGGATGGCGGAATAGTGAAAAGGGAGGGTGGGGCAAAAACATGGCCATGACAGAGTCGGGAACGGAGGGCACACTGCATTGTTGGGTTTAACGCTGCTTTGTACTTCCGTTAATTGGCGGCGTGTGGTATTCATAAACCAGAAGAATGGTGAATAATAACGTCATGTGAGGTGAAAGTTGCCGCAACAGCTATTGGCTACAAATCCCGAAGCAATCGCATTAATTTCAACTTACCAGTCAGGCCAGTGAGATAACATATACCGCGTTTGCCCGTGGGGTGTAGTATAGCGTCTTTAATTTCATTTTACTCAGCGGAAACTGAAATATTTATTTCGTCCCTGGTCTTTACAGAAGACAAAGTGTTAGGCACCGCTCGGATATTCTGTTTGAACTGGATTCCTTGGGAAGTAAAAGCGATGACTACTGGTCCCCTGACAACTGAACCTAAGTGGCAGTTTATATTTGTACGCCAACGATCACAGAGAAATGAATGCAACGCCACTGGGAGTACTTGGTGGAAGTTTCACAGAAAACTGAAACTCGGTCGTTCACTATAATTTGATTACATTTGTATTTGACTTGCTGTTGCAAGCGAGCTAATTTCTTTCTTTTTTCATTTCTGGTTTCATTTGAACTCATACAGTAGAATCGTATCTCATACAATGAGACTGAACTGCTGGAATTAAGGTTAAAATTAATACCTCTAATGAAATTCAGCTATACTAGTGTCCAGACAGGACGTTATTGTTGATATCTAATCGAAAGATAGGGTCAATTGGAGCTCATTGGTCATAACTACACGTAAAGATATTACAAACATTATGTCAAATTCTAGAACATGCGATCATTATGACATAACTTATAATGTGTTTTCCGCTTTGGGTGCAATGTTTGGCATCCTTCTGAGAAGTCATGGAAATCCGCCATCTTGAAATGGTCCATCAACGTCAGGTGTGAGCTGATCTGCCGCACGCTATTCCAAACACATCACTATCCATAAGTGACCGCCTCCTTAACCCAATACTCCAACATATCCGTGGTCCTTAAAACCCAAAGGGTTCGTTTCCAGCCTTTATTTCTGGAGTCGGAGGAGTGTGAGAGACAGTTTAGAGATTCTAATAAACTTGGCGTTTCATGGCATAACATGTCATGGATTTCATGAAATGAACACATTTATCCGATGAATTCATCCATACACTGACCTCCGTGGAATTATAAATGCCATCGATTGGGCCACACTGTGCTAAATCCGATCCCAAATCGACGACATCTGAAACTTGTTCATGGTTCATTTTATGTCCATATTTTTTGCGTGTTTTTAGACACAGGAAACTTTGAGTTTAGGAGATGCATAACCTGAATCTTCCATGGATTTCACGATGACGTCAAATGAAATTCATCACTAACGTCATGTCCGGCTGGGAAATCTGTAAGAAGGGGGGATAATCACGTCTTGTGTATTGACTCTTCGGTATTGGAGGTACTCTCTGCGGATCTGTTTCCGGTATAAGCAGACGACCACAAGCGACGCAATGAGCATGATGAAGAGTACCCCCATTATAAGCACGTACAGTTTTAATATTAACGTGTATGCGAAGCTGTCAGATGTGTTCTCTGAAACAACAAACAAACACAAAGTCAGAAAAAGTTACATTATGTTTCTAGGCGATGCGGTGACCCCATAACCACCCTAGGTTGCAGAGATACTTGGAAAGAAGCAGATTGTTTCCCCGGGGGGTACTGCTACTTCAAATGTATTCTACAGATTCGAGCATTCTATAAGAACTGTGTGGGGTTCGGATTTGCGCCGCTTTCAGCAATGTTCCAGCAATATCACGACAGGGGATACCAGAAATGGGCTTCACACATTGTACCAAGGTGTGTAATCGAACCCGTCCTTCGGTGTGAAGAGCGAACGCTTTGACCGCTAGACTACCCACCACTCCTTTATGGTATTGAGACATGCATTCATGCTATCAATAAAACAAGAATTGCCACAATTTTAGCTCTCACAATATGAAAAGGTGTTACTCCAGAGGTTGTTCCAACCAGGGAGAAGACAGTAGTTAGCGACTGTGCATGGTCACTTGTACAGCAATAATACAAAACCACCCCCGTCCCGTTTTCTCTGAACAGTTTGTTGTCATACATTTTCAACAGACATTATAGCTGGGGCTCTTTTGGGTGGAACCACAACAACACAGTTGTTTTTTGTATATCCAGCATGGTCAACCATTGAATGGTATCAATTGCATTATCACAAAGAAATAAAAAAAGGAAGTACAAATGTGTGTGCACGTTGTTTTACGCCGCTTTTAGCAATATTCCAGCAACATTAAGGCTGGGGGACACCAGAAATGGGCTTCACACATTGTACCCGTGTGGGGTATCGAGCCTAGGCTTTTGGTGTGACGAGGAAACGCTTTAACCACTTGGCTACCCACCGCCCCTTCTACTCATCAACCCATGGTTTTTCGTCCCATTTGATGATACAGCAACAATCAGGTTCCTCACAAGTTATAACCCTCAGATCCTTATGTAACTTGGTTCTTATGACAAGTATGGAATAGTGGATACCCACCACATCGTATTGGACACTGTAAATAATCCTATATCAAATATACAACCTAACGTTTGCTAAGTACCACACCTCTGACTTAAGATGACTATGTCGGTCCTTAGCAAATGCTGAGTAGTATATAACAGACATAGACAGTTTATCTCGGGATTATTTTTTCAATAAAATAAGAATAAAGCATTACCAATGCAATTGGGTAGTGTCTCTGTGATGTCCCAATTACACCCTAGTTCTTGTCTATCACAATCCTTAAGGATGAGGTTGACCACGTAGCTATGCTTGACATCATCACTGAGTAATACATTGGTTCTGGATGTCATCAGATACTTCTTGGTCAGCACGTTCTTGAGCCTGTACAGAGATGAAAAGTTGGCCACCGACGGCTCAATGGTAAATGTCTGCGTGTTTCTGTCCTGGGGTCTCAGGGCATGACTACACAACAGGACCTCATCGTCTTCAGCTCCAGCAGCATTGCGGTCGTTCATTTCATCCTGGATGTATTTCAGAAAAGATCTATCAAAACCAACATAACACTCATTCTTTCCGCGGATAAAATATCCAAGTTTCCCAAAGGGAAGGGCTGATTCAAACGTCCATGTAGCACGATCATTATCGACTGGGTTCCTTCTGGCACACTTCACTGCGGTGCCCTTCACATCCGCGGAGGCCAGGTCCACTTTCCCTTGTTGGCTGGATAACGTTTGTGACTCAATATTATACAATATTTCATTTGTCAGTGGTTTCGACAGGAACAAGTCTTTCGCAACTTTTTTATGGAACAAAGTTGTCATCAACATCGGGGAACACATTTTAAGGTGATTGTTCTGAGCCAGAAGGTCTCGTTCCATTGTGACAATCCTTTGTCTGCAGGGGATGTCATCTGGGGAACACGTCATGTCATACAGCAGGGCCCCTCGGACCTGAAGCTTCATCAGTTGGCTTAAGAACGCCAGGGTGTCATTCACTGCTTGATTCAGGCTAATAGGACTTTCTGAAGTTGATGTCATGTCCTCGATTTTCTTTGCCACATACTTTCTCAAGAGACTGTCGTCTTCTGGGTCGTCTGTGCCTCGAATTTGTGAGTCGATCAGTTCAAACAAGGCCGGTAGGTTTTTGTGAGCACTTTTGAACATAGCTTTCATTTGTCCTGCTGCAGATTTTCTCATTTTATCAATAGGAAGGGTTCCATTGACGGTAGGATCATACACCTTCTGAAGTAGATACAATATTGCCTTCCATCTGTCTAAATATTCATCCATGTCGTCAACAGTTTTAAGAGCTTTCGAAGCATTGGCGCCTAACTCCTGGAAATGTTCTTTAAGACTTGTTGAGTCAGCGTTCAGTTTTTTAAACTCCAGCTCAATATTTCGAAAGGAATCTGGGTTCCTACTGCCAACAAAGGCATCAACGTTTAGTTTGTTGTTAAGTGATGGGTACTCTTTACCGTATTTCGACACATACGACTTCCAGCCACCCTCATCCTCTTCTTGAGAATTACCTTGACAATGTGCACACGAAAGCAACGCACCTGCAAACAAACAGAAAACAATAGATTTACCAATATAATTTGCATTATGTCATCAAGGTGAACACACGTTTTCTGTCAAGGGAACAGTGATAAGAAGAAAGTTATTTGTCCCAAGATTAAAATGCGTGTTCTGTAAATGTCCACTGAACGGACATGGAGCGACCAAGATGGTAAAATGTCCCAGTACTATTAGCTGGAGGCGACATGGACGTAACGACCACTCTTATACTTGCGACTTGACCAGTCAGCACCTTGACCACGACCCAGAACACACGTCTTGATCAACACTCACACCACATGTACCCCACTTTCTACGTATTGGCAACCATTACCTCAGATCACTTGTGACGCATCTGTGTCTTGACCACCACCTCCACCACCCAGACCACATGTAACGTCTTGATCAACACTTAAACCACATATACTCCCTTTCCTACGGCCACCATTACCTCGGGCCGCATTCACTCATCTGCTCCTCGGCCACCACCCATCCACATGTACCCAACGTACGTCTTGACCACCGCAACCAAAGCCACACATGTACCCTCTTGTACCCTATGTGCCCAATGTACATGTCCTTCAACTCACCATCCTAGATGTACTACACGATAACTGATTACTCACTAATCACTACTCCGCCCCGAATAATGAGCATATTAGGTTAACGAATGCAGATGCTTCAGCAAACGTTTCCAGACACATATAATAAATATCGCGAGCAAAGCATCAATGACTGTCTCGGATCTAAGCTTGGCACTTGATTTGTCAGGTAGCAGTATAAAATGAATCTAGTCCCTCGATACTAGCGCGTGCTCTTTAAAAGGATCGCAGTTAGTCTGGTGCGTATTCCTTTGGGGATCAGACTTAATGCTTTCATATCGCTCAACCTACTGTAGTAGTAGTTGTGTCAATTATCTGATTAACTGTTCTGGCGTTGATGTTGCTAATTTCTCTCCTCCGTCCACACCAAGCGTCCAGGCAAGAAATGGACATGAAATTGACCAGCAATAATGCTAATGACTGACGGATAATTCAGCTGTAAATCGGGTTATAGATGGCTAATAGATTGTTATATATGCTGATAATAGCAGAATTGAGACCAGCCTCAGAAATATAGCTCTTTTGCGTTCATTTGATCGATATCTGCCAGCTCGATTTCTTTACGCAAGGTTATGGCTCACGTCTATAGCATCAGTGTTGATGCCATGAGATTAAGACATGATATCATGAGGAGTAGCATGATAGTGAATTTCTATATTGCCTAATATGTCTGATTAATGTCATTGTATTAATGCCCCTGTTCAATATGCCATTTGTCTTCCTTATCTGTCGTGTTTTGACATTTTCTCACTAGCACACACGAGCGACGCAGGAATTGGCCATGCAACAGGTCCATTGATTGGCTTAATTTCACATAACCGTGGAATCTACATATCTAGAAGAGTTAATTATGATCATCTATCTGGCTAATAAACCATCACATCTTTAAGTGACTTTACTCCACAGTCGGATGATCCCGTGTGGATTCTTGGACAGGGTATATCGCCAATACCCATAGCATAACTGTAAGAGCCGACTATCGAGTTGCAATGTCAGCCCTCTTAGTGATGGAAATCCATGTTTGTCTCTCTCAGTTACGGTCGTCTTAAACTAGTATACGGAACGGTCCTTGGCTCGTCGTGAGTAATGTGACGACGGTGTGAATCATTACCAAGGCTGTCAGTACAGACCATTATTACACTCAAGGCTGTTACAAATAGCAGATTGAGAGTAAGATGACGGACTCAGTTGATGCTAATGATATTATTTTCGGTTTCAATGAGGATGTCACCATGAGGATGAAGATAAATGCATATTGCATAAGACATATGAAAGTTTTGATAACTGTCCTTTTAGACACCGTGACCGAGGTAATTACTCCAAGCAGTTTCGACCGCCTCCGTGGTCTAGTGGTAGAGCGTCCGCCCGGAGAGCGGAAGGTCCGGGGTTCGGTCCCCGGCCGCGTCATACCAAAAGACGTTAAAAGATGGTACTTGTTGTTACCCTGTCTGGAGCTCGGCATTAAGGGGCTAAAACAAGGACTGGTCGGCTCGGAGTCAGTATACTGTGTCTAAGTGTGGTATTCATGTTAAACTGCGGCACGGTATCTCAGTGGGCTAGCACTATAAATCGGCATCAGTCTGGACTAGTACAAGCAGACACAGACACAGACACAGACACAGACACAGACACACACACACACACACACACCCATGCACGTCGCCTTATAAGTGCAATAATCTTGGATTAATTACGTTAATCACAATTTCACCTCACCTTCACCAATCAATATCATTACATGTAAGGGCTTAATCCTAGTCAACCACTAGTCAGCCATGACCTCTCACTCACATACTCAACGAGTGTTCATTTTCAGTCTCTGTCTAGACACTGACGTACGTGTTAAGCAAGTGGGTAGATTATATATTATTCGTAGCAAGGATCACGTATCTGCCTGGCCTGCCTGGACACTTCCACACGAACTCCTGTATGATTATTGAAATAATGTGTACACACGTCTGTATAACATAGGGTAATATAGAATAAGAATCTATCATTTGATATCATTCGCTTTTAATCAAGAATATGAGAGCACTAAATCATATGAAAAGCAAAGGTTTTCAGAAACTTGATGAAATCTCTAAAAATAAAGTGGAGCAAAATGTTACCAACGTTACCAATGTTTGTTGTCGAAGGTACAACATACAACTAATAATAGAACAGCTCATTTATTGAAATAGCGTGTCCTAACTTTTCTTAAAGCCATTTTACATTCCAATTGTACATAGAGACACTTAAGGCGCCAGGGATTGCGATAAAATCGCTTTCGTCAAAAACGTTTGGCTGTGAAACGCATTATCGATAGCGAATTTGCACATTCCAATCAATACATCGGAGGCAATTTCGAAGGACGGGAGTTATGTAATGTCTAGTCGAAAGACAATTTACAATGCTAATGTGCATGTTCATGGAAGCATGCTTAAGCTAAATTCCGTGTCAAAGGCATCTGGGTTGAAGAAAATATAGAAAAAAATTAAATAGGACTGGAGACTTGATACACGTACGTTACAAGGAGCTTAGAACCCGTTCTATATCTGTGTACCTCCGATAAACCATTTCTGCACGCGTTTCATGATGTCGTCTCCTCACTCGGCTATATTTGGTGTCGGCCATGGGCGGTAATTCAATTGACGACGACAGCAACAGTTCGTGTTCATGCTAGGTTTACTAAAAGCATTACACCCAGGCACTGACGCTTTTCAACTCCTGTATCCAAAACTGATTCCGCAAATCTGTGAGTTCCATTGATTTACCCACGCTCTCAAATCAGACTGTTTCATCTAAGCTAGAAGGAGGCAAGTCATTTAAGCAACCCAAAGCAAATATCATCTCTATGATTGGTGTTCACCGAATTTGAAGAATAGGGACTCAGCCGCGTCATGGACGTTCTCGAGTGCAATACACGGCAACACACCATCTCGACATGATACTGCATTCTCCCAATGAAGACAGCGAATCACCCAACAGGGCCTCGTAGTCGATTTGGCGTCCCGTGAGTTGAATTAAAGACTAGATGCGTGTGTTATTTCCTTAGAGGACCTGGAAACCATGCCAGTAGCGATATTGACCTTGACGATCGAATCTCTCGCCTGGTGGTCATCTTGAAGGTCAGTCTGAGTACAGCTTGGCCTATATTGATGCTGCAAGCAAATAGAGTATTCGGGCAGCCAGCCAACTTCAGACTGTGATGAACTGTTGCTAGGTCAAGAAACGATGACCTCGTGGCCAGAGGGGTGCAATATTTTAGAATCATTGCGGAATTCTGGGATCAATGTTTCTCTAACTACGTCTGAAGGATAATGAGAAATAATTTGTACATTTCATGTTATTAACACACCGAGTTGTAAATAACGAAGTGATGTTTGTAAAATCAATAATCGCGAATGTATTCTTGGCTTTATAGCAAAGAGCGTCTCATATGGCTACTCAATTTCACAGTCTGAGAAACCTTAATTCAAAACCACTGGCGTCCATACACAAGTCACAACATACTGGATCGGTTATAATCATACCAAGTTGAAACAGAATCCATTCCCTTGGAGGTACATAACATAGAAGTAAATGCACAGCATGCTAAATCTTACATTCCTTGCCTACACTTGAGAAACTAAGAGGACAAAGGTGCACGGAAAAGACATTATCAACGCATCTACTTTACGCCAAAGGGTATGTTTGTTGGGGTTGGACAGACGTGTGAAGCGTATTGATTTGACAAGAACCTGGTCTTAAGACTGAGCTCCGTACATGAGATCACTAAATAGCTGAGGATAAGACGTAATTAAATCGACGCAACGCACAGCATATGTTGAGAGCTGGTCTATGATGACACTACCTGCAGTGTTCTGCGTCGGGCAATGTATTGACACAAGGTCTGTTCGTGAGAGAGTGCTGTTGTCGGATGCGACTAGAACACATGCTGTATCAACATAATACATGCCTAGTGTTTTTGTGTTGGCGGAACATTGCAAATAGTTCCTTCTGACACTGACAATGGCCATTACAGCAGTGAAAACGAGTGTTCGAGATAAATAAGCTCACTGAAAAACGCATGTGTGGTAAACAGCTGAATTTATCTAAACCTAAATGATTAAATTGCTAGGGCATAATGTCATGGATATTAGGTTCACATATATCACTTCAAATTGAAGACTGCGTAAATAAAGCACGCCAGCCAGAAGAGACATATCACGGACACCTTCCACTGTAATGTTATCGACATTCTCCATGGATGTGCTGTGTCAATTATGTACTTCAGGCTGATCAGTACCTGCACTGCAATACCATCTCACAGCGAATTCACCAGACAACGATTCAAGGAAACATTGCGAACACATATATTGGATGTTAATGTCGTTTGAACAGTATGTCAAATATTTTCAATGCTCTTAAGAAACACACGA